ATGGCTTGAATGCGAGCACGTTCCACTGAGAAGGGGACTGCCACGTGGTGGGTACCGGATCAGGGTCCATTCTCTGCCTTCCCCCCGCCAGGACCATGTTTCTTCGCCTGGCCGCCCTGGTGGTCCTGTTCTTCTCTCTCTGGAAATAGATCACTTGTGGGGACTACTCCGAGGCTAAGGACTGCAAAACCTGTGGCTACAATTACAAAGAAGTTCTGGTGAGAACGGCATGGGGTCTGCCTGGGACTCCTGGGTCCCTGAAGGAAAGATGGAGCTGGGTGGGTCCAGACTCTTTGTTTGGGTGGAGAGGGGAGCTCGGGATGCTGGAACACTCTCCCATGGGTATGAATGTTTGAAAAACGAGGACCCCCAGAGAAAGTATTGACAGGGTCTCATAGGCTTGCGATGTGGAGACTCCGACGCGTGGGCCTCCAGGTGTTCGGGTCCTGAGGTCTTTCTGATCTATTTCTCCCTTCTTCAGTGCTGGGAGACTGTCCTGGGCCAGGAAATGTACAAACTTCTGCTCTTTGATCTGCTGACTGCCTTGGGAGTCGCGCTGCTCATCCAGTTTCCTAGAAAGTGAGAGCCCCGCCCCTCGCTGTAGCCCCGCCCCTCTAGGACCAGGCCCTGCCCCATCGCGCTGTTCTTTTCACCGCGCACCTTTTTACTGTTCCCGCCTCTGCCGGCTCCCTTTGCTTGCCCTAGGTCCGCAGATCTCCCCCACTCCCCGCCCTTGTTTTAGTGGGTTATTTCCCTGTGGCCCCGCCCCTACCGCCGCGACACCTGGGTCCCGTCTGGTCCTCTGGACACACCCCCTTCACGTGGAGTCTTGAAAGTCCCGCCCCTCCTAGATATGCTTGCTTCCTATTGGCGGGCAGGGCGGTGGAGGCGGGAAAACTCCAAGTCGCCACGCCCCTGACTCGGACCCGGCCCCGCCCCGTCCTTCAGGCTCCTCTGTGGCCTCTGTCCTGGGGCGCTGGGTAGTCTGGCGCGGACCTAGGAGTTCCAGGTGCCCGACGAGGTGCTGGGGCTCATCTACGCGCAGACGGTGGTCTGGGTGGGGAGTTTTTTCTGCCCTTTGCTGCCCCTGCTTAACACGGTCAAGTTCCTGCTGCTTTTCTACCTGAAGAAGGTAAGGGGTAAGGGGGGACTCTTGGGTCTGAGGCAGGAGGTATTGGGGCCCGCACTCCTGGGTCCTGGGCAAGGAAGATCCTGGGGGCCTGGATTACTAGGTCCTAAGAGAGGAGGTGGTTGGAGGACAGACTCCTGGATCTGAGAGAAGGAGGAGTCTAGGGCATTCTGACTTCTATGTGTGAGGATCCGGGGACTTA